TCTAATGAACATATCAAACAATTTGTTTGACATGTGGCTAAGTAGGTGTCTTCGCACCGTTTTATTATCTTTCTCGTATCTCTCATTGATACCGATGGTAGCTGCAACAACAGCTAAGGAGGCATCGTTTAGAATCGTATCCGTATCATTTTTGGCGATTACGGTTAGCGGTATGGTAGGTGGTGGCGTGGGCAGCACATAATCAAGGTCAAGTTACTCGAAAAATATCAAAATTCGTTGGGACCATATTTGATATTTTTTTTCTTCCATAAAGTGCATCGAGCTTGGAAAGATCGAGAATCAACTTACTTAAAGGTGATATCATATATATGAATTCGTTTATAAATTGTTGGGAATATGGACTGTAAAATCTCACCGCTACCACAGACTGGAAAAATAAATAATAATTCAAAATTTGTAATCGTAAATCATGTCGTGGTTAAAAACCACTGCCTTAGAAACGAATTTGCGCGGATGTGTGTAATTGCTCAAATAGATGGATCGTCTCCCGAGGTTAACACGATCGCTCCAAATTTCCTACATCCAAAATTGGAGTGGACTGCTGGCAGTGTAACACTTCTGATCGGAAAGTATAGAGTGAACAACTTTATAAACACTAAGGGTGCGTTTGGTTCACGGAATAGAAGATTACCAGTGGGAATGTAATATTACCAGGGAATATGATTACTGGGAATGTTGTATTTTGTGTTTGGTTGGCTTAGCAAGAATGTAAGATTATCGTGTTTGGTTAAAAGAATAAAAGATTATTGGAGTGTATATTTGACCAAATTGTCCTTATTATATATTTGTTTTTTAACAAGTTGGAAAATATTTATATATTTTCTTTAAAAAAATTAAATTCATAAAATTTATATAATTTGTTTTACAAAATAAAAAATATAAAAATGTTTAATGAAAGGGTAAAATTTTATTTTAACCCCTGAACTTCATATAAAATTTTAATTATAGACTTTTTTTGTAAATCTAAAATAGTTTAAGGATAAATTTGTAATTTAACATTCGTAGAATTTTTATTATTCAATGACAGAAAAATGATATTTAAAAAAAATTAAGGGCATTTTAGTCCAAAACTTCGGGAATCCAACAATACCTAAGGAAATGGAGGTAATGACATTTCCGGTAATATATCCCAAAAAATCCACTATTGGTAATCTTACATTACCAGGAATGAGATTCTCGGGCTAACTAAACGAGAGAATGTGGATTTCATTCTCATGGGAATCCCACATTCCTCCATCCAAACACCCCTTAAGGGAGTGAATAGTGAACTATGGAGTGAGTTGAGAAGTTGAATTCAACTCTTTATTTATAAGTTAGAAATAGGGATATAATCGTCCAATAAAAAATCATATTAATATCTGATTTTAATTATGGAATTAAACCCTATTATAAGTGCTGAAACGACATGATAAATTTGACTAAAAAATAGTCCAGGTTCATTGCATTAATACTCAGTTGTTATAACTCCTTAAATTAAATCATGTATCTCCTGATATTAACAACTTAAATAATTGTTAAACTCCTGATATTAACAACTGGAAATCAATCTATATACATCTTAACATTATGATTTAATTTAGGAAAACAACTATTAAATTTATTTAATTTCAGACAGCTAATTAATCAGATGTTAAACAAACCTCAACAGCCTATAAATATCATATGAAATCTTTCACATTTTCATTTGTTCTTTCAGATAAAATTTCACACTAATTTTCTCTAAAAAGATAATATCCACTTGAACATGTTGAAGACACATATTAATACAACCACAAGCTGAGCCGAGTCGGACGGACGGACGATAGCGGCAACGATGCGCGAAAATCCCCCTTATTCTCTACCATTCAACAAGGGAATGAAGAATGCAAGCATTAAATACTCATTCCCAATAATGTTTCTAACTCTATGTGAGATTGAGCATTACCAACAGTTTAACTCACTCTATTAGTTATCAAGTTCAACATGATTCTTAGCTTGATTGTTTCTCTGGGTTGATCTATCTATCTTGTTAACTTATTTTCATGAGTGTATTGAGTATTCTTGGTCAGTCTTGCTGTTTCAAAGAATTGATCTCTCTTGTTTGGTTTCGATTTTTTTTCTTCACTATCTCAATGTTTGAGAGATCTTTTAATTTCTATAACTAATTTATTGGTGACGAAGGTTCAGATCTTCGATATGAAAAAAATCTTTTAGTCGATATATTAAAAAAATACGATACTTTTATAAGAATTATAAATAAAAACCTTAAAAAGTCTTTCTTTTATAATTCTTATAAAAATATCGTATTCCTTTTATGAAAAAGACTTTCGGTTCTTTGGTGTTTGTCGATCCGTAAACAATGCCACCCACACCTTAACTTAGTTTACCTTATCTATTTCTGCACATTTGTTTTTTATTATGACTCTCTGATGTGTATTTCAAATATAATACTTTCTGATACCATTAGCCTCTTAATCGATATGTTTTTTAGGTTAAATATGACTTTTTCATATCAAAGATATGAACCCTTGTCACTAATAAATTAGCTATGAAAATTAAAAGATATCTCAAACATTGAGATAATGATGCTAAAAAACATCAAAACCAGACAAGAGAATGCACGGACGTGAAACTAGTTCGGCTTGAACTAATAACAACAGAAAAACTGGACTAATTCCTATCCATGAGCATGACTGATTGGATACAAAAAAACTTACAACAGCCGAGCTACTTCCCACGGTGCGCGGATGAATATGATGTTCTCTTTGGATCAATCTTTTGGTGTGTTTGGATAAGAAATAACAAATACATATTTAAACCTGAAGTCTTAGAAACCAAGAGAGTGGTGAGATATAGCAAAATACTACAGTTGGAAGCCTCCCTTGCACTGAATTTATGTAATGTATGACCAATGGAATTAGAAACAAGACGAACAGACCAACAAAGATGGTGCCTTCCCCCGAATGGTTGGTCCAAACTAAACCCCAATGGCGCAAGAAAGTTAGAATCTGGTGCGACAACCTGTGGTAGTGCTGAGGGACCACAAGGGTGAATGGCAAGTGGGATACGTTTTGGGATGTTGTTCGGTGCTGGATGCCGAGATATGAGGGGTTCTTGTTGAACTGGAGGTGGAATGGGAGCTCGAGAAACGAAACATTATTATCGAGATGAATAACAATGGGATATTTAACTTGCTCTCACAGGATCAAAAGATGGACATGATATCATCAATGGTGCCGCACATGGTCAATTTACTACAAAGAGATTAGAATCTGCTTATGTGACATAATAAAGGATCACAGTAGCTGACGAAATGATGAAGATAACGTAGTCCCTTCTAGTTGGACTTTATACTTTTGAAGTGCCTCATGTGACTGCGCGAATTGATTGATGTTGACCGACCCTCCAAAGATGGTTCCCATTTAGTTTTATTTAAACTGTTATCTATTTTGGTATTCTTAAAAAAATATCTTCTTTATTTATAAATCAAACAAATCCACTCTCAAAATACTTTGGATATAGATATATTTTTTTATTGGCATGCGACAATATTAATCTTGGTGTTGAATGTCATTATTGGTAATTATTTATTTATTTATTTATTTATGTTTTTCTTTATTTCCTCATCTCACGTTTTTACTTGTATTTTGTTTCTAATAAAATATGTCTTTATGTCGCACTTTTTATGCCATTTGGTACATGTTTGGTTTTTCAGTTGTTTAATTGTTCTTGTTATTTGTTTTTATTAAGATTGAATTTGATGTCACATGAATTGATTAAGATGATACTCATTTATTATCCCATTGATATTTCCTGCTTTGGACAATCGAATTAGATTTGAATATGTAGTTTGCGTTCATAGATAGTTTCTCACGATGCTTGACTCTAGTTTGCGCTTTTCGATGATCTTTAAATAGTTTAATCATCTACCGTGATTCATTTACTGTAGCATTCAAATATATTTTTATCTATATTTTGTTCGAGTTTTTTTGGATGCATTTTTCACATTTTCCTTGTATGATCATTATATGATCTTAAGTAGTTAATTTCTTTATATTAATGGCTGTAGGAGAATATCCTAATTATGTGTTTAGTTTATGATTTTAATTATAAATTTTAATTATAATTTTAAATATTTCCTTTCCTAATAAATTTGGTTATTTTTATTTTTCTCAAAAAAATATATTATATCTCATTTATGTAAATGACATAATTAGGGTCGCTGGCTACAGAGAGGGTTGCGACTGCTGAACAAACAATTACCAGCTCATTATCTTAAGGTATAAGTTAAGACGTTGCACTGAGATGCGAAAAGTGTGAAGGAGTTGGATATGCTGGGCCACGTGTTTTCGCACCCAATCTTTTTGGACTATTTTTCTATAGTAGTGGGTCAACTTCAATGGCTAATTTATTATAGGGTGTAATATTAAAATTAAATTAGATAATTTTTAAGTATTATTTTATTATTTAAAATTCATTTAAAATTTTTTAAATAGAGTTAAGTGAATTTAGATCTATTTTATTTAAGATATTATTTAAATTTAAATATAATTACTTATAATATTATAAAATTTTGGTTCTAATTTAAATAACTCTCTAATCATATAATGTATATTTATATATTTTTACAAATGTGATATACTTGTTTAAATTAAAATAAATCTTTATCCTAATATTATAAATGATTGTATTTAATTTGAATATAAACACAAAAAACTAATATTTGATTTAAATTAGAATAAGATTGTACCTTAATTTTTTAGAAAAAATGAATCATAAAATAATAATTTAAACTCAAATTTTTTCATTCAAATCGATTTGATCGAATGTTCACTATTAATCGAATTATAATTTTTCAAAGTTTGATGATCAAAATAAGAAGGAAACCAAACAAAAGTGACATGTGCTATATTTTAGCTAATAAATATATTGTAATTTATTATTACTTTGTAAGAAATGAATAAATAAATAATATAGAATTAAAATCAATTGAGAGAGAAGAAGAGGGGAAGAGGGGGTAAGAGAAAAGGACGACCAGATCTGAGACTTCTATCTCATTTATTGTTGATGAACTTTGATCTTATAATAAGAAAACAACACGAGAAAAAGGGAAGGAGAGGAGAATTGCAGGTATTTTTCTTTACTTTCTTGCACCTACTTCTTGAAAATGGTCCTCCGATTTTTCAACTTCGTATTATGATTAAACGTTAATTATTTGTGTAAGAAATGATTGATTTGATTATGACAATAAATTGATCTCGATTTGTGTTTGGAAAGGCAATAAGCGAGTGATGGCGGAGGACAAAGGCATTTCCGATGGTGAAAAAAGCAAAGAATCCAGTCCCCCGTTGCCGGCAGTCAAGAAGAAACCCAAGGGAGTCTTCTCCCGCATCTGGAGTACAATCTTCAGGACCGGGGGGGACAACTTTGAGAAGAGACTTGAATATATTATTACCAAGGAAGAGACTGCTGTTCTCGCGCGAATGAAAAGAAGATCCCAGGTTTGGAGGGGAATAATCAGGCATCTCATAGTATTTTCCGTCGTTTTGGAGGTACTCATCATCTCATCACTTTCTCTCTATTGTATGCAACTCACTACTCCACATTTCTCACACAGTGCTACTAAGTAGTACTTGTCTTTGTAATCATATGCAACTTTCATTTGGCATGTGTCTATTATCTATCTTTTATATGCAAAAGCTCATGAAAGATATCATTAGTGATTTTCTTCACACTCTGAATCCATCATCTTTTATTAGCTAGCTCGTTAACTTTGAGTTTTTTTCATCCATATATGGTTTATGTATGTGCTGTTTACAGTTGAATCCAATCATTGTACTATCAACTTCTTTCCAGAGAAGAAGTTGATACAAGATTTGGTTCTCTATCAGAACTGCTGCCGAAATCCCCCCCCCCTTTTGGATGCCCTAAATGGGAATTTTCCTGTCAATTTACAGGTTATTGCAATTTCTTATGCCATCATGACAACAAGATCCGTGGATTTAGATTGGAAAATGAGGGCATTTGGGGTTTTGCCAATGTTCCTTTTGCCTGCCTTTTCTTCCATTGCTTATTCTGCATTTGCAAGCATCAGAAAGATGTGTAAGTTACTCAATATCTTAGAGAATTTTCCTGTTGTTGTTAAACGCCTGACTAGTTGTCTATTTTTTGTTGTTTATGTTGATAAATGGTAGTAGGTATTGGATATTTACAACTGGGCTGAATCCTCTTAATAGATTTTGTGAGCATCCACTAACATTATGCCTAAATTAGAAAATACAAGATTCCCTCCCTCCTCCCACACACCGAAGAGAAACAGAAGGGTATAGAAACTTGCTGCTGATTTGTTGCATATCATGGCTGATACGATATTGTGAATTAATGTTTTGTTGGCTATATTATAGCATTGCCAATAATACTGTGTAGGACAGTCGACAGTTAGCTATATATTTTTCTGTTATCATGCTTTACACTTGCTGATGGATATGGCTTTAATTCTTGTTCATACAAATTATAACTTATTTTTTATCTAGTATATTTGCATCATGTTAATTGATGCATGAGGCTTGCCTCAGGAGGTTTTAACTTCTTTGAAAAGTGATTAGTGAGGTATATCTGATAAAAGTTAAAAATCCTAAAATTGTTAAATATTAATTGTCTTCCTAACTAGACTTGTTGGTTCAGCCATCGATATGATTTGACGAAATTAAAATTGATAAGTACAGGATTGATCCAATTGGCAATTTGAAACCTTAAATCGATATGTTTATTGATTGATATATAATGTTAAGTTGTATAGAATAAATGATTGGATGAGTGTTTCCTATCCCTCTTATAGCTTTGTGACTTCCTTATTCACCACTCTTGTACTTATTTCACTCCGTTTACTCTTCAAAGATTTTCCAGACCAGTTTTTCCCTCTTCTTTAACCTTTTGTCTGTTGGTTATTATAATTATTAAACAGAGTAAAGGCTGAAGGAAAAAAAGGTATTGTGTTGAACATTAACATCGTTTGCAATCTCAAGCAATTAGTCTGACTTGATCCAGAATTAAAATAACATTATGGTAAAGTAGCTTAATAGTAGTAGCTCCTGCATCAGGAAGATTTGATCCAGAATTCTCAGTGCATTTTCATGTGATTTGTGTGATGAATTTCTAGCCTTGATTTATTGTTTCACCATTGTAAGTCGTTTCAGAATGCAACCCTTCATTGTTTTATCTATCTTTTGATGATCAAGGTCTCTCTCATGCCATCTTTAGTCTTTAGGTGATTTGACAGTTCTTAATTCTGTTGCTGAGTTTGTCATTTTAGGCAAAGCTCTCTCTGATGGAAATGCAAACAGCATGAGCAGCCTTTCCATTGTTATCCTTATTACTATTCAAAATACTTTCTATCTTTTACATACTTCTTTACATTGGTTTGCATTTTATAAAAGAATTCTGTACCCTGGAAGTTAAGCAGCGTAGATGATACTGTATTATAAATATATTATGATTTTGATATAACAAGTTCCAACCAATTTTCGGTTCCCTAAAATATGGGCAATCTTGTTTATTTGCGATTTTATCTTATAGGTGATGAGAGGGACAAGAAAACTCTAGAAAGACTTCGTGCTGAAAGGCAAACAAAAATTGATGAACTTAAGGAGAAGACAAATTATTACATTACACAACAGCTTATTCAGGTAATTTAGAAAACTAGTAATTGGTTTCATCAAATGACCTTAAGTCCTGTGGCTGAATTTTACCTGAATTTTCATCTGTTATTACTACTGTGAAACAGAAAGCATAAGGTAAAACCTTCCTGGTACATATTGATGCAAAAAATATTTACTAGTGTAAGCCTCCTTTTGGATTGTTAGAAGAAGAGCTATTTAACTAGGTTAAAGGTATTATATAGAACCTTGTATTATGTTGAATAATCAGGGAAAGAAACTATTACTGGCATTGCTTGCGTAATCACTTTGGGACAATTCATTGCTTATGTGCATTGCACAGAACACTTGAGGAAGGTGTAGATACTTTCGGTTATCATCTTGAAAAGGTTGCCACTTAAGTAAATAATAGGCAGAAGCCTGTTTTAAAAAAATCTTATGTGATCAAATAGAATGTCAAGTAATAAATTAAGATTGTCTGTTCCATTTTCTCTATCTGAAATAAAGAAAATGGAAAAACTGTTTTGCTCATGAGCTAGATGATTGAGTATTTCTTTGAATGCGTAATATTATTTGCAAATCAACCTTATTTAAATCACTATATCATAAATCACTTTGATGCAGAGATATGATCCTGATCCAGCAGCAAAGGCTGCTGCTGCAACTGTCCTTGCATCTAAGTTGGGTGCAGATTCAGGTCTGAAATTCCATGTTGAAGATGGATCTAATCTTAATGTCCTGGGGGGGAAGAGCAACGATGTTGAGGTAGTGCCATCAAGTGGACTTCGAAAAAGAAAGCCCAGTAGACCCAATAGTACGGCATGCACTCCTTCGGTTCATTCTGATGATGAAACAACACCTCATTCTTCTTCAGGGAATGAGGGTCCCCGAGCTTCTGAGCAAGGTCAAGTAGTTGTTAATCATTACAATCCACAGGGACCTTCTGCACAGGACGGGGGATGGCTTTCTCGTTTTGCGGCCTTGCTTGTTGGTGAAGATCCAACACAATCATATGCACTTATATGTGGCAATTGCCACATGCACAACGGTTAGTGGTGTTTAGTTTTTCTGTTATATTATGAATCCTTAATTCAACACAATTGTATACATGTACACTGCAGAGTTCTAGTATTCTTGAAGAGGAATGTTGAACTTCAAACTGTATTTCTTTTTTGGTGATTTTGTTCAGGACTTGCTAGGAAGGAGGATTTCCCATATATAACTTATTACTGCCCACACTGCCGTGCCCTGAATAAGCCAAAACAATCGGTGGAGCAAATTTCTAGATCCAGCTCCCCTCCGATGAACCCCTTTAAACCAGAAGGAGCTGGCGGTGCAGTAGAAAATTCCAGTGTTAGCATGGATGAGGGTGCACTCATGAACCAAGGCTCTGTGAGATCTAGTTCCGAGATTGAGGAAGTGACTGAAAAATTATTGTCGAGCGATCCGGTTGGATAAAACGCATACCCCAGGACAATGAAATTTGCTAAAGGTGTTCTCTCTGCTTTGATCTCATTTGTGTCCTGTAGGTAATGTATAGGAACTTCTGATCTCTGGGTTTTTGCAGTGCCTTTGGTTATTGTTGTTTGACTAAAACATTGAGATGCCTTACTAGGACCTTATGGTTATCATACACGATATAGATGATAGATATTTGTTACATTTTACTCTAAAAGTATGATAGACCAAAATCTTTGTTGAAGAAATGAATACATTTTTATTTTCTAATCTTGTTGAGAACAGCTAAATCTTTTATTATATCATCAACCAGCACGTGTAAGGAAAAAAAATGAGTGAATGAATTCCGGACAGGCGGATGCATAGATAGCACTCGAAATGAAATTGTGGGAAGGAATCGGTCCAGCTGGTGTAACGCTATTTTTAAACAAGTCGCTTCCTTGAGTTTGAGGTTTACCCTCACCCTGCTGCCCCTGTTAACCTCTATAATGTAACTAATTCCCAATGAGTGAAAATAAATGAACAAAAAAAGTTGCTAACTCGATGATATCGAATATCCCTTCTCCAACTGTGGGGACATCATGAACAGCTACAACTTCGATGTTGGCCATGGCGATGATACCGACATTTTCAAAGAACCCTTGTTACTCCAACTGTCATATGTAAGATAGACGTCCTTGTTCCGTGATGGGCGACAAGTTAAGCGGCTTCAGAATAAGCCTTCGTTGGTGTGCACTAGATCACTCATGCATAGGCAAATCCTTATCGTATCACGTATTCGTTTTTCTCGCCATTTTCGTTCCTATTGCTAGTGCCCTCTGGTTCTGGTTCCAATTCCCATCCTCTGCATTTCCCATGGAAAGCACATCCTTCCACCTCCTGATTCAATTCCTTGAGTCAGCCTTAGCTTTCTAGGGCATTTTAACCTTAATCTGCTTCTTTACAAAATACGGGTTGAGGCAGATCTTGTTTCTCGACGCCTTGCAAGAATATTCGATGTTCGTGAGAGTGGATGGATACAGACGAGAGCCGGACAAGGCGTTCTGTTACCTTGCATGCATACTTGTACCATCTTTCTTCGTTGAAATCATTCATAAGGTCATTTTCTTCTCCACACTCCACAGTGAAGATATAATGTTAGCACCGGCTTCACTTTGAACTCCATTGCGTTCGCGTTGGTGTTGGGGTCACGGGTTTACAGGACGGGCGTGCTTCTCCTTGTGTGTGTTGTTCCTGTTGACTTGCGAGTTATAGATACTAAGATTCTAAGGACTCTTTCAAGATGTTACAATGGAGATATATATCAGGATCAGGAAACAGTTATCGATCACCAGTCATAGGTATCGCTTCTTCATTATTGCGTCCTTGGTTGTCGTCACTGCTAGCCAGTTCTTCAGCTTTGTCTATGGTTTTGGCTTCCATATCAGACAAATTTCTTCAATTCTGGCAATCTATTGGTAAGTACTAAGTAGGATAACTTGTACTACGTATACAACTTCAGTAAAAAGTATTGTTCGAGTTTACCCAAATTTAATAAAATATCACGTCATATAAAAGGGTTAAAATCACAAAAATCCTCTTATAAAATTAAATTTTTAAAAATCTGAAGGGTAAAAAAAATATAAAAGGTTTTTGTTTATTATTATTTTTAAAAAATAACATTTTAAATGGACCTATTTAAAAATAGAAAAAATGAAAATAAAATAATTGAGACAGAGAGTATGAGATTGAAAACTGAGAGCTGAAAATATAGCAATGGGTTAAAAAGAAAAGTTTACTAAATTATAGGGACTAAAACATGTATTAAACCTTTTATTTTTATATTTTACAAGCACGAAGGAATGTAACATTAATTAACACATTATTGGGAATGTTACATTACTATGTTTGGTTTGTTTAGCAGGAATATAAGATTATAGTGTTTGATTGAATGAATAAAATATTATTGGAATATATATTTTACGAAATTGTCTTTGTTCAATATTTTTTAACAAGTGGAATTCTAAATATTTAAATGAAAATATTTATATAAAAATTCATCTAGAATATATTACTTTCTTATTTTTAATATATATATATATATATATATACTTTTCAATAAAATTTATATATATATATATATATATATATATATATATATATTATAAAATTTAAAAGATAAATGGGTAGAATAAAAGAGTAAATATATCACATATTATTTTAATTTTAATTAATATTAAATTGTACATAATTTATCTAAAAATATATTAAAATTTTACATCAACATTTAACTAAATAAGCATATGAACATTTTAATAGATGAACCATTCTACTCCTACCAAAATGTACAAAGATGATTTTATTATAAATGAATGCATTTACTTTTTAAATGTGCATAATTAAATTAAAATTTTATATATACAATTAAACAAAAATCAAAATTATATATATATATATATTATATAAAATATAAATTAATATTTATGTATTTCTTTTGGTACATAATTAATATTTATGTATTACTTACACATTTAACAAAATTAATTAGTAATTTTAATAATTATTCAAAAAAAAATCAAAACTTAATTCAAGTGATTCTTAGATAACATATCATCTTAATTTTCTTCTTTCACCGCAACCAAACCATCAATGTGAAAAAAAATTAAGGCCCCTATATCTTGCTTTTCTAGCCTTATTACGAGGCTTGACATCTAATTACTTGAAGATGTCAAAAGTACATAGAATTTGATCAACTCTACATAGTACAAGTTAAAAACTATTTGTCCTACAATTTTCCATTAAATTCCCGAGCAACACATGAATTCTCGAGCATATCTAGGTGGCAATTTCTTTTTCTCATAGCAACTTCAAGATCATCTAAGGTTACTTGTCCATCACCATCTCTATCCAATTCTTCAAAGAATCTCATCCCTAAACGAATAACGCAAGAGTAAAATTAGTTCATAGCTATTTTACTGAACTATAGTTGATCAAATTAGGCCATGGTAAATTACCCAACCTGAAATTAATGCCATGAGAACTCAAAGGATATGAACTCGTTTAGCATAAAGTTCGATAATTGAGAAGTCTATTAAAAAGAATAAAAAGAACAACTATCAATGACCAGTCTCTCAACCCCAAATTCAATTTGGAATAAGGGAAGGGTGCTAACCCCCAAATGAGAACTCAAATGTGTATATCTATTGCATGAATAACTTGGATATAACATGTCAAAAATCTGAACTGGTGAATAATACATCAGACCAAAGCTATCAATACAATACGTACACATGTTTGAAATTTGATCCACATATTATAAACATACTCAACATCAAATCAAAACTATCATTTAACACATAAGCCAATAATCGAACTAAAAGATAGATCTGCTTAGTGCGATACTGATACTTTGAGAACTCAGTTAAAACGTTATAAAGTTAGGACTCATTCAGAATCTGGACTATAGTCCCGAGGATTTCTAATGCAATTAACACTAAAATATTTCTCATACATGTAATTCCTTCTTCAGGGACATTTCCATGTATAGTTTATCCAACTGATTCACTCTACTCTTCCTAGCCTCTAATTCCCTGAACGAAGCAGTTGTCTTTCTACACATGAAGGGACAAAAAGTATAAAGATGTGTAAAAATGGCAAAAAGATGAAGACAACTTGGGCAGTGATGAGTTAGCATAAGATAGGAAACATCTATAATATTACTAGCAATCGTGGCTTACATATTAAAAAGCAAGAACATAATGCTTTGAAAGTGATTTGATGGTTGATTAATGGAAAGTATTGGACTTTTAAGGGCTGAAATTAAATGAAATAGGGCAAGTGAAAAAAAAACCCATAGGCCGTTTTTAAGATTGTATTTAAGATCATTACCTTTTCTCTATTAATCAAAATAGTTTACAGACATATATAGATATATTCATTTTTAAGATGGTAAACACATTGATAGATGCATTTTCTCTATTAAAGAAGATTTTTCAAAAGAAACCTAATGTGATCTGACAATTAAGAGCTTTACATGATAAGTTCCAGAAATGCATCAATTAATATGTGTACTATCTTAAAAATACAATGAAATCTATAACTCTTAACTTGATCAAAGATAAAAACAAATTGAACTAAAAGAAATTTTAAAATACTCGGTCCACCAGCAACCAACAATCCCAAGATATACATATGTATAAAACCAAGAAGACTAATTCACTTAACTGAATAAAGCAGCACTTGGTGATCAACATGCATATAGCCCATCCATATAGTAAAATCACTTTAGAAGAGGATGAGTCGAAGAAGTTTCATCTCAAATCATAAATATCTTCCAATAAAGTTCCAAATATGACTTTATTAGATTTTTTGGTCAAAACTAAAAAGCATCTCATTACCAAAATCAGCAAATTGAATAAAGAGTGATTGCTTCGATGATAACCTTTTCCAATTTGGAATGACCAATCCAGTTATTTATCAAACCCCAAGTAAAAGTCAATTAACTAACCTTTTAATATGATAAGGGATATCACCAGAAAGGGGAGTAACAATGGTTTCAGAAGCTTGTGATAGTAATTCTCTAGCTTCTTCCCTGTAAAACAAAATATACATTCATACATATTTTTTATATTTCACAACAATATATAATATCAACAATTACAAAATTTACTATGATTCATCCGAAAATCATTTTGTTTTATTTTTTCTCTGTTTGTAAAGATGAAGAGAACATATAATACTATACTGCTCTATATCTTAGGGATTAAGAACTATATTCCAACTAGTTTTACCAGTCCAACAACAACGTCAATGTGTATTAAACAGAGATGAAAAATCAGAGTAATTGTTATAATCAACGAAAGCAAAAGCAAGCAATTTCAACTGTATTTACTGAACAAATGTTAACAGTTGAAATTAAGGGGTGCATGTGCATGGGGATGATTTAGCTGACAATTGAATCCCGCAAGGTTTTGAATTTTGAATACTGGTTATATGAATTGTTAATATTGGATGCATTAAACTGTATTTCACAAATTAATATGATAAATTTCACCAAATTGAATCAAAGAGCATAAACAATCAAATTCATGATGGATACCATTCAAAAAGATGTGGCAGACAACAGAAGATAAGTAGGTGCTTTTTGGGTTGAGCTTAAAAGAGAGCAAAATAAAAATAAATCACACTTTCACTTAAAGAAATGCTGAGAAATGGGGAAAGAAAGGTGATATTAAGAAATCAAACATGTCCTCAGCATAGTAAATGTGTCTGTTAGAGGGACGATTATCAACGGAATGCAACACTGCAGTTCGCTTCTCAACTTTCTGCAGCAGAATATAATAGTATAAATAATAGGAAATTATTATATAGCTCTTGGTAAACCAAAAATCACTCATTATACCTTTCTTTCACTTTGCAACTTCTGCAATATATATCCTATGTCTTGGGTCTTCATTAGCATGGGTTCTTCTTGAGTGTATTTGTTAACTTGATTCCTATAATAACAAAGAATTTGGGAAGAAAAGAAAAGAAAATAAAAAATACTAGATAAACTTTCTATAGATTTGCAAGCCCAAGTAGAAAACAACATAAACATGAAAGCCATATTATACTCTGGTTTATGAACTCCATCCACAATTCTTGTTTTTATCATCTGAAAGTAGAATTCATCTGGATTTCTGAAGGCAACTTTCTCCTTGAGTTTCTGTAGAGAAAATCAACAAAAGTGCACATTGTAAAAAAATGGATGAAATTATAGTCAACACTCTTATTACAGTCAAAGAAGTAAGAAATTGGATGCAATCAACAAAATAAAATTACCCGTAAGGTCTCTTCCTTCTTGTGGAATGCTTTTGCATGGACAACTCCTCGCAACAAGTCTCGCCAAATCGAAGAAGAACAATATTTTCTTTCAGCCAAAGCAAGCTAACGGGGAGGGGAGGGGTATTTAAGCCAACAGAAGACGGGAATCAACAAATATCTAAAAGAGATAGGGAACTAACATTCCCATAACCATCCAAACGTGGGTATCTTTACCCGAAAAATATATTTCCTCCTAAGAATGCTTTAATCCGTAAACCAAACTGGCCCTTAGGGCAAAAAGAGAGAAACAAAAGCGCAAAAATACTTGAGAAACAAGTCAGTTAGTGAGGTTGGGTAAATACTTAATATCAAGGAAAAGGATTTCTTTCTCGTCTAGTATTGTGTTGTAGTGGAAGAAAGATCTCAAATTTTGGATTTTTTTTCGAAGGGGAAGGAAATCAAAACAAAAATGGATCTGAATATGAACGTGAACGCTCCTCATTCTATGGGCACAACAATCATCGGAGTCACCTACAACGGCGGTGTCGTCCTCGGCGCCGACTCTCGTACCAGCACCGGTATTCTCTCCCTCCCTCTTTCTTTTCGTTGTTTATTATTATTTTTATTAGGGATCTGAATTTCTAGATAACGTTTTCCTGTTTTTGTTTAATTTATTGATTAGGGATGTATGTTGCTAACCGGGCATCTGACAAAATTACACAGCTCACTGATAACGTCTACGTTTGCCGTTCTGGATCCGTAATTCCTACTTCTTAACTCAAACTCACTATATAATTAATTTTCGCCTACTTTATTTTTGGTTTATTTTTTTAATTTCGTTTAATCAGGATATGATGAAATAATGATTGTCCTGTTTGCAGGCTGCTGATTCTCAGATTGTTTCCGACTATGTCCGTTATTTCCTTCATCAACATACGTCAGTGCTTTTTTTTTCTTTTTCTCTTTTCTATTCTAACTTTGATAGTTTAGATGTGTTGGAATGATCATTGATAAAAGAATTCCTTCACGTGATCAGTGCTTTCTTGAATGTATTGTTCTATGGAAAGTTATTATTGCTTCATTTCATGGAGTTTCTTTGAATTTTTTATTGCCTCATTTCATGAAATTGCTTTGAATTTTGTCTTTCATGGTCAGTTCTTATTGCCACGCCTCATGAAGCTCCTTTGAATTTTTCAATATGATTAGTTCATTGTCTGACAACATTTTATACCCCCTTTTTTTTTTCTTCAGAATACAGGTTGGGCAGCCTGCAACTGTCAAAGTAGCTGCAAACCTTATCAGGCTACTATCCTACAGTAATAAGTTTGAGTTTGACATTGAGATACTTGCCTCACAGTTTTGTCTCTTTCTTATTTTTCTTAGGGAACGTGTGCCGTTTTCAGATCTATGTACAATTTGAATTTTAGAAATCCGTTATCATCTTCTTCCTTTATAGCAAATGTTTCTGGTTAATAACCATCTATTTTGGAATGCATTTCAATCAGTATGTAGACTTATTGAGCTTATGTTTTAGTTTGCCCCATTTGTTTGTATGATTTATATTTCTAGGATAAAGTGATCCTTTTCCCTCTGTAATTCATGTCATATTCTGGACTAAGTTTAGTCTTATGATCAGAACATGCTTCAAACTGGCCTTATTGTTGGAGGGTGGGACAAATACGAAGGTGGTAAAATATATGGAATTCCTCTTGGTGGAACATTGATTGAACAGCCTTTTGCTATTGGAGGTATGTGGGGCTCATCTTTAGCTTTATGTTTTATGATGTTATGGTACTTTATACGAAGTGTTATGCTATAGAAAAGCTAACATACATTGTTAGATGTTGTAGTAGATACATCCCCATACATGCATGTTTATGCAGAGTTGACATCTATATAGGCTTGTTTAGTCCTACCCATTTATCTTCGTATTGCCTCAGACTGTTGATTTTCCTCTTTCTTGCCTTAATTCAGCCTATAAATCTGGCATTAAGTCGTTCAATGCTTTCATGTAACCTCAAGAATTTTTGGACTGGTAAGATTGCACCCATAATTTGAGAGCAAAGCAAAACACGTGATTAGTTAATTGGTGAAACTTTTTGATAAAAGTTGGAGGTCTCATTAAAAACTCACTTCGTATTCGTCCACATATTAAGAAGTATGTTAACGAACATTGGAAGAAGAAAAGAGTACCTCATAATTTATTAATAATAATATCGAATACATATGGAAACACATAATATCCTCATATGGAGAAATACACCATTAAAACAAACCAGATACACCTAAAACTCCCACATCGTCTACCAGAAAACCCAATCGACAATCACCCTGTTTCTAAATTACACATCCAGTAAAAGGGGAAAAAACAACGCAAAAGAACATAACACAAAAGAAAGCCAACACCTGCAACCATTTAAACTAAATCAAATCCCCAATTGAAGAAACAAGATCTAAGGAGTATCGACTTCGTATGGGACCCAATAATTTGGTTTGAAGGAAGACGCAATTTCATGCACCATGATTTTGAACGAGTTAGCACCGACCTTCAACTCTAACGACTCATCAATTCTTAAATGAGCATTTGTAAGAATTTGAATGTTTGCCCTATCAAAAGATGATGGTGACTGACAACTTTCGTCGATTGCTAATAAATTACCCCACTTATCTGCAATGTTTTTGAAAGTATCCCAATTCCAAGCGTGAAAAGGAACTCCCTCGCAAACTAACCACACTCGACGACATTCCACCACTGAACTCTCTGACCAAGCTTCAATTCTGGAGAACCACTTTGCGAGAGTCTCTGATTTATCATTCTTAACACTACTCAATGAAGCAGAGTCTTCAAAAATCATTAGTACTGCATTTCCAACAGCTCTCCTTAACGAGAAACCAGTGAGGCCTTTGGCTTGCATTTGACTATCGAGATTACCGATTTTGATAAAGTGTTTGCACCACCCCACTATACATTTACTCAACACGTGAAGTTTTTCCTCGTCCATAACACCTTCAACTTCACAATGATTATATCTCGAAACAACTTCCATCTCCGCCTTGCTGTGAATAGTTGTCGAGGTATTTATCCAAAAAGACCGTTGAGGCTTAAATTTAGCCAAAGAAACATTAATTTTACTGCCGTCAATATAAAAACCATTCATTTCTGAGATTGCTTTTCTTGCTTCTTCGATTGTTGCAAAACGAATGAACCCAAACTGAATCAATTTCGATTTTGTTTATAAAAGCATCAATTATCCGACCGTGGGGGCAAAATAAAGATCCAAACCTCTTTCATCTTTTCTGGTTAATTGATGAAACTAAATGTAACTATTCTCCCTTAAAGGTCAATAGCACCTAATTTTGAGTGCTATAGTAATACTTATGCAGAAAAATAGTTCTGAGTTGATTTGACATAAATTGCGCAGGATCTGGCTCCAGTTATCTATATGGGTTTCTTGATCAGGCGTGGAAGGAAGGAATGACAAAGGATGAGGCTGAGGTACATTTGTTTTAATGATATGATTTTATTCTTTTAAAAAATGTTAATTGGTTACTTGACCTAAGATTTGTTGTTAATTGTTTTTATTGAAATTCATTGCAGCGACTAGTGGTTAAGGCAGTGTCACTTGCCATTGCTCGTGATGGTGCTAGTGGAGGTGTTGTTCGCACAGTCATTGTAAGATATGTTACAATTAGTAATAAATGTTTCTTGCATGTGTAGTTTGAATTCAGTGTTTAACCTTGGTTTTCTATTTTTGGTGTTGCAGATCAACTCTGAAGGAGTGACCAGGAACTTCTACCCTGGTGACAAACTTCAACTGTGGCATGACGAATTGGAGCCGCAGAATTCGTTACTGGACATACTGAACGCTCCTCCCAGTCCTGAACCAATGAATATTTAATCAATGGGAGCCATCTACAATTTTAGTTTTAGGCTGTCTTCAGCTGCAGGCTTTTCTATTTTTATTTTTTTGTTTCTAAAACTGGAAGTTTTATGTTTAGTTGGAGTTAAAATCATGATATATGTTTCTCTTTCTGTTGTGGCTTTGAGACCGATGGAAATTCAGTTTCATTGAAATGCTCACTAAAATGATTGGTGTTATGATTTCTGATTTTGGATGTCATGTTATGGGTGATATGCTGAATGTCTGGGAATAATAATTTAATCGATACCAACGGATTTGATTTGACCTGATAGATTTTTTTTTATATAAAAAATCTAATTTAGATCAAGTTGAGTTTGAGTGTGAGGTGAAAAATCTCCTAGTTAACATGAGGAAATAGTATAATTTCCCCCCTATAAATTTAAGGATAATAGCTATAATATTCTCTTTTCTTATAGTTTATTAACTAGGTTTCTATTTTATCGAATAAAATTGATTTATTTTTATATATTTGGGTTGGATTGGATTGGATGTAAGTTTTTATCCAAAAATTTTGGTTAGAGGAAAAATACTCACCGGGTTGGATTTGAGCGGTGTGTGTATGTTTCTCTTATTAGATCGGATTCTGACTGAAGGGTGTATAATTCTCAAGGAGATATATCATAGAGACGGACGATGGTTTGTGATGTTCCATAACCTAATACCATCCCCCTGGCATCAGCTGCTAACAATGGTAATAAAAGGATCTAGGGGATCAGCTAATATGGTGAGTTCCTCTTCTTGATCAAAAGCCATGTTTACCAGGTGATCTGTGCATTTATTCTCTTTTCTCCACGTGTGTAATTTCGCAGATCCAATCTTCTTTAACGAGTTTTATGCAATTGCTCATAAGTACATTGACCATATACTCTTCAGTAATCAAGGCATTGACCACCCATTTGGTTTCCATTTTTAAGATTGTTTTTTTCTCACCTAACGATTTCGCTAGAAGCATTCCCTGTCGAGCTCCCCATAATTCCGCCAGGTCACTTCTTGATCTCCCAATTCTTATCATGAAACCTGCCAGCCATGCGCCATTTTCATCCCGTTAGAGCACAGTTTCCACATGACTATTAAAAGGGATTTTGACTTTTGAGATTCCATATTTGGTTCCATAAGTTAATTGGTATTTGGTTATGTCGGAACCGTCTTTCGGTTGGGCCCCGAATTGGGCTTCGACGTAATTAATTGGGTTAGAGTCACCACCGACCACTTTAAAACGAATTTAGGTGGGTCGGACACCATCTTATCTGATCTACGTTGTACCAGAAACGTGTTGGGTTCGGAAGTCGATTACGATCAAGGAAGGATTAGCACCCTGGAACCGCCCTCTCGATACCAATTAATTTGTCGGTTGTCTTTGATTGAGAAAATTATAATTATAATTTAAATTTAAATTTAAATTATCTTATTCAAATTGCTTACCTTTGAGTTGTTTTGAATTACTTACTAAAACAGAAATAAAAAATGTTAGAAGAAAAATAATAATAATAATAGTAATAAAAATAAATATAAAAAAAGTCAAAGAAGAAAAAAGAAATCAAAAGGGAAAAAAGTAAATAAAGAAAAAGTTAAAAAATAAAATTAAATAACATTAAAGAGAGAGAAAATAAAGAAACAAAAAAATACAATTTAATAAAAAAGAATAATAATAATAATAAAGAAATAAATTAAATATTAAAAAAATGAAAATAAAAAAACGTAAATAAATATTAACAAAGAAATCGAAAAAAATAAGTAAAAATGATCAGAATGCGAAATTTTAACAAACAGTGGCTGAATCATAAAACAAAAAAGAATAATGGCTAAATCGAAACCTGCAAAAAGATATCTAGGCCATTTCGGATAAAATATGAATTAGGGATTATAATGAAAAAATAATAAATTCAAAGTCCAAATTGAAATACTGAAAATTGGATTTAGTGACCAAAATGTAGAGAACAAAATTTACAGGGACCATGAACGGAGTTCACCCGTGCGTGCGTCGTTTTGGGGATAAATACCCCCATTATGCACAAATCCTCCCATTCTTCCTCACTTATCTATTTCCTCTCTCTCTAAGCTAATATATCTCTCGCCTCTCTCTAGAGAGAGCTCCACCGGTGGAGAACCGGGCGGCCGGAAAAATTGAAACCCCCAAAACGTTAACCTCCTCACCCTTAGACCGAAACCGAGCCGCAAATCCCCTACAAACGCCTCCTCCGACGTAGATCTAGGAAATAAACCTCGAGTTTTTTTTACCTTTTTTCGCGAGACCGTTCGTTCTCCGACGACCGCTCTTCGAGGCTTTTGGCTTTGTGGTTGATGCTTCGTCTCTGTTTTTTTGTTATGTATTGGCTTGCTCGATTTTCTGTGTTGACTCTTGGGTTTGTGTTTCTCGATGATCTTGCTTTGTTTTTTTGGTTACTATTCTTGTTGTGGTTTTGTTGTGATGGTTATATTTTCTTATGATGCTTTGTATTTGATGTTGGCCCCTTTGGTTCTGTTGTTGTGATGATGGTTTTCTGTTCCACTGTGGGTTTCTTGTTCTCGGTCCCCTTTTGCATGGCCTCACTGGGGGCTTTTATAGCCTCGGTGTTGGCCGTTCTGGTTCCGAAATAAGGGGCTCGTTCCCCTCAACGTTAACGTGGTTGGCCGGCTATCCCGGGATGGGTCAGTATCGGGAATCTCGGCCGGAAAATCTGGCTGTTCGGCGTTGCTTGCTTGACCCCTTGAATCCCTCCTGTGCGGCGCTGACTTGCCTGACTAGAGGTTTGCAAACCCTTAACTATCCCGAGCTAGTTCAAGCCCCAAACAAGTCAGACCCATTGGACTTATTGGACCCTGTAACAAAATGAAAATGAAAAATAAAATTAATAATAATAAAAATAAAAAAGTAAATAAATAAACAATAATATATATATATATATATAAATATTTTCCAAAAGTCTATATAATATATATTTTCAAAAGTATTTTAAAATTATATATTATATATTTTTAAAAAATGTTTTCAAAATTATATAGTTTTCAAAAATATTTTTAAAACTATATACTATATAATTTTTCAAAATGATTTCAAAATTATATAATATATATATGTTTTCAAAATATTTTTTTAAAACTATATATATTTACAAAATGTTTAAAAAAAACTATATAATATATATATTTTTTCAAAAATGTTTTAAAAAATATATATTATATTTATTTTTAAAATATTTTAAAAATTATATATAAATATTTTTAAACATATTTTCAAAATTATATATTATATGTGTGTTTTTTTAAAAATGTTTTCAAACTATATACAATATATATAAAAAATAAAATAAAATAAAATAAAAATAAAATAATTTCGGGCGAAAATTGAGTGTCTACAGGTTACATGTGATGTCGAGTTGCCGAGCCACGATCCAGCAGCCATTTTGTTTTAGTGGACCCAGGTCACATCCATTCTTTAAATACAACGAGACTGTGGACTTATGGGACTTAATGGACTAAAAGGAAATAGGGTTTTACTTTGCTAGCAGCCTATATATATATATATCATTCTCTTTGTCACACATCTTTAAGCCGCATTAGGGTTTTCAATTATCAGCCTTCAGTTTTCTTTTTACAAGTTTCTTCATTTTTTGCCGATTCATGGATAGAATCGAGACTGTTTTTTTTTTTGTAATTTAAAAACAGGGCTGGAGTTTGGCTCCTTCACTAAATCAAAACTGTGTCATGAAGATGAATGCAGCGCCTTAGATCAACATCTTTCAGCCTCCATCCCAAATTCCTCTACGATGGATATACATCTGGTGGATTTTATCGGGCAACGCTGGTACATCTCTCTCTCTCTCTCTCTCTCTCTCTCTCTCTTGAAAGTAAAAATGATTCTCGAGTAGTAATTCAGGCAGCCTTATTGCCTCAAATCATCATGGCAATAAAGGTGTTAAACTGCTCGGATACTGAATATTGCTTTTCATCTTCAGTCTTGCTGAGATTTATTGATGAAGCTGGACTAGTAAGCTTTAAGCACATTATCTCTTATCGTTGATTTCTATTCAGTGGTGTTCTTTATGAAAGTGAATTTTGAGATGATAATGATTAATTATTGTTTATCGAAAAGAAATTTGGAGATTCAAAAAAAAACTATCTTATTGAAAAAACAGAAGGAACAAATTAAGAGAATTCAATTAGTGAAACTGGAGATGAACATACGAACCATTCAATCGAAATTACAGAGGGAACAAACTAATAGAAGATAGATTATATCTACGATTTACAAAATAATATTAGTATAAACTACTTTTTAGTATTTAAATTATTACTTTTGTTTTATTTTTACATTTAGATTTTATTTTAAAAAAAATATATTTGATATTTAGTTTAAGTTTTAATATAATCCTCATCTTTAAAAATTTAACTGAAAACTTAAAAATTTAAAGAAAAACTTAACGGCACTACTAGTGTAGAATTATTTTCCATTTTTTAAAATTTCACATGTGTTTCTATTATCTATATATCACCATTACACGTGGAAATTTAGATTTAAGGGATCGTTCGATAAACTCATTAACATCTAATATTTCTCCTATTATTGGTGGCTTGTTAGACGCCACCGTCACAAGTAATGAATTTCTGGCACACACAAATGTTACCAAAGCATGTAAACAATCTGCCATTGTCGGAGTGTCTTCTAGCATGTCTTTTCCGTTCGAAGTTGGGAATGCTAGACCTAGACCAAAAACTAGAACCGTCGTTGCTCCGATCGTGAATCGACGTCAGTTTAGTTCTCCACTGTTCCAACTTTAATCGAAGCCCTTTGATGCTTTTATCGTTTAAACTCCACCCTAATATGGAACTCTCGCAATCATCGAATCTGTTTCGGTGCATCTTTTTTGCCATAGATGCTGACACTTCTAACGGCGATCAACCTATTTCTTAATCAATCCAAGCTTTCACCCCAATTGTTCTTCTTGGAGCCTAGGTGTATGACCCAATCAGTGATTAAGTTTCCCGATGGGGAAATTTATCATGGAGTCTCCCCTAGAAATCATGGACCCCCTGTCGTCGCCGCCATTAACGACTGACCCACCGTTGATAATCGAGGAACCCTTTGTGGGTATCTTAGACTACAGAACGGAAGGAAAAACTGAACTCTAGTCGCTCTCGGTTTCGGAGCTTCGGTTTACTAAATGAACCAGGCAAAGGACTAGGGTTTTCACCGTCGTTGCTTTTTGTCGTGCTGGAAATTAGGTACTCTTGTTTGCCCATTAAATGCTTGTACCCAATCGCCGATGATCCCATTTGAAGATACAATGGCATGCTCCTCTTCGAGCTATCAATCAACGTCACCTTGATGTTCAATATCCCTTGCAGTCGACCTGATGGTCTCCAAATCTGAAGTGGGAGGTCCAATCTTTAATATTTCTTTAAAAGGGGAAAGTTTTATTTGCTAGAGTACTTTAAACGGGGATTTTTTTTAGTTCAATTAATGATACTTTCGTTTGTTGGTTCGACGATCCATCGCTTACATAATCTCTTTGGTTTTGGTTTTTTCTTTTCTTTTCTTTTCTTTTGACGGTCAGAGTACTCTTTTTGTTAGGGCTTCTTTAAACTAAATTTGGGCAAGTGTTTTTTTTAGCTTTAGCGAAGCATGATCATGTAGATCACTGTTGTTATCTTTATGTGTATTTATTTTCTTATAAAGTAACTTCCATTAATAAATAAAAAAACTGATGATAAGTTGATAATAAATAATAGCAAAATCTGATTTGATTTAAAAATAAAAAAATGAATTTTGAATCAATTAGACTATATTATTTAATTTTTAATCAATTTGAATAAGTAATTTATTTTTTGAGGAATTTCAATAATTTGAATAAATTTAATAAAAATTGATGTAAATACACTTTGACTCTTATCAATTTTGAAAATGACTAATTTGATCTTACTCATAAAAATTTAAAAAATTATAAATAAAAATAATTTTCAAATTTTATTAAAAAATCATATACAAATATTATAATATAATTTCAAAATTAAACTTATGGTATTAAAAATATCTTGATTTTCTCTTGTTTTGTATTAAAAGAGTTTTCAAATATACATTGTTCCAAGGGTTATTATTTCATGTACAGATAATGAAATAAAATATTTGACAAACGACCTATTTAAATGCCACCTAACACAACAATAACATTAGAAGGCTGCTTGCAAGATATTTTTTTCCTGCTGCCTATGCATGAGATAATAATCCTTCTTTCAAATTTGTCTTCTCTAACTCCAAAGTTAATCATATTATTAAAGAGGTTTAAATTTAACTTGTTTATTATTTTTAATCTAATTAATAAACTTTTTTTAAAACTCAATTTTATTTAAAATTTATTTACTTTGACTCGATTAAAAAAGATAAATTACACATTTAGTATCTAAACTCTTCTTTCGTTTTGGTATCAATTTTTTTTCTTCCAAAATCATACCTAAGGTTTAGTTTAAGTTTCATTTTGGTACCATTCCATTAAAAACTTAACAATAATGTTAACGTATCATGATAAGGTAATGTCATGCCATCATTGAAAAAATAAAAAATGTCACATCAGTAGTTATGTTAATTTTTTAATGGCGATGTACCAAAATGAAACCTAAACTAAATGTTAGATATGGTGTTGGAAAATAAATAAAGTTTAAGTTCTAAAATAAAACAAAAATAATAATTAGATACTAAACGTGTAGTTTACCCTTAAAAGAATTCAGATTATGTTAAGATATTAAAAGAAGATTAGTCACTTGATTCAATTAAGTGTATATATTGTGGAGAGTTTATCTTGGAAAATTATGCATAAGCACCAACACAGCAGGGGCAGCAGTATAAATGTTAACACAAATGAAGTTGGTCCTATGTGGAATTCATTTCGTAACCAATACTAAAACTAGGGCTGTAAACAAATCGAGTGTTGTTCGAGTATTGTTGAACTCGATTCAATCTGAAAATTTTAAAGTTGTGATTGACTTGATTCGAAAGTTCATGAGTTTAAAATTTTCGAGCTCGAATCGAAATAAAAAAATTGAAGCTCTATTCAAGCTTGAAAAAACTTGAACTCAAAACATTCTCATACTTAACTCAATTGAAACTTAAACTCGAGTTCAAACCTAAACCTTAAAAAAAAAACAACATATAAATGTTAATATTATTAATAATTTAATTTTAAAATTACAAATGTTAATATTTTTCGAGTTACTCGTGAGCTTTTCAAGTCGGGTATCAAGTAGTTCAATTCAATTCATTAAGAACTCGCTTCAAGTTCAAACTTGAATCAAGTCCATTTAATTTAAATGTTATCAAACTCAAATAATTCGTGGCTACCTCATCTCAATTAAAGCACTAACTAAAAACCTAAATGCAAAGCAAAAGGCAAACAAAGGGCCGTTGTTGTAAGTTCAAAGTTGGAACCCACTCCCCCACCCTCTCCAACTCCTACAACATACTGTTGTTATAATGGACACAGCTCATGCAATTTCGCACTTTATATTATCCTTTACCTCTAGTAATTATACTACATATCCATATTCAGACAACATTCCATGTATTAGTAAAAAATACATCAAAACATTTGACAATACAGAGAAATTAAGATTCGTTTACATAATATAAATTTATTTCTTATTATATGTTTTTAGAATTGTTAAATAATTAAAATTAATAAAAATAAATAAGAAACTTTTACAAAAAAAATTAAAAAAAATAATCTCAATTATTAATTTTTACTTAAATTGTAGAAGTATACAACTAAAATCTTTACATTATTTCTCTATGTATATAAAGGTATGTCGAGAAAGGACTAAACATGAGCAGAGAATAGATGCGTGCAGTGCAAGCAAAAGTAGGAAAATCGTTTTGCTCTAAAGGAGATAAAAATATGATAGTGGAGAATGACTATGAATATGGCTCTCGCAGCTAGTAAATGACAAATGTGTCATCACGCATATATAAATATATGATATAAAATAATAATATTTAATATATCTTGACTCAAATGATAATATATTTAAATATATGGAAAATAAATTTATTTAATTTTATTTTAATAATATATTAATTTATAAAAAATATAGGAAAATATAACTTTTAAAGAGAGAAGTGGGATTTGCTTTTAAATTATTTTAAAGGAGGATTCCTCTTTAAAAAAAGAAAGAAGAGAAAACTTTAAATTTGTGGAGTAGGTGTTGAGTTGAGTCTGAATGGAGCGTTCCAACAAGTCCAAGTGCATGAAAATGAACCCCTGCAATTGCTATAAAAGTGCCAGATGGTTTGGAGAATTAACCTAATTAAGCAAGAGTGAGTGTTGAGAGATGGAGTGGAGGCAATGCTATTTGGATGTGATTTTGGTGCCACTAAGCATTCTCCTCACCATTGCTTATCATTGCTGGTTATGGCTTAAGGTTCGGACTCACCCTCTCACCACCATCATCGGAACAAACGCTGCCGGACGACGATTCTGGGTCTCTGACATCATCAAGGTATTCATCCCCATCATTTTTATTCATGCATTATATCTGATCATCTAACCTATCATCCTTAAAGAGAAGCGTTGCTAAATTTGCATGAAATGTCGATTCAATTTTAGGTAAGTTAATATTGTTATTGTTCTATTGTTCATTAAAAAGTAATTTAAAACATGTTTAAATGTATATTATCTCTCTGTTTAAGAATTTAGATGATTTGAATAATTTAAACGTTGTATAAAAATATTATTGATAAAGATGAGTAAACTATCACAAACCGATAATAAATAAATATAAAAATACATAAATTTACGTAAAAATAAAAAAATATAAATATTTAAGAAAATTTAATACCGTGAAAATTATATAATAATTCTTTAAACCTTATATATATATATATATATTTGTATGAATATAAATTCTCATTTTCTTCAAATTATTTATTCACTAAAAAATCGTATCACATATTTTTTAAATCATAACATGAATTTTAAACCATAAACTCTAATAAAAAGTACAGTATTGATGAGTGATATCATTTTTTTAATTTGACAATATGAGACAAATGGTGTGTTTTATTATTACCGACAAGAGTTAGTGGTTTTGTCGTGGCTTTAATCTTTAAGTCCATTCACAAAGCACAATTAAATAAATCAAAAGGCTCAAACAATTAGCATCTTAATTCTCTCCTCTAATTAATTATATTAAAAAAAATATCAGTAGCACTACTTGATTTAAATGCATTGCCTATTGCCACTTCCAAGAAGAACAAGAGTACGAGATAATGATTATAATATTAGATTATACTTGCGGTGTTTGTCATGGATGTAGTCATGATATTGCCATTATAAATATTACAAACGTTAATTAATATATATCGATTGTTGTGGACGTAGTTAGTTTCTTAAAAATTATAGATATGATTAAGTACCATAGCAACTTTAAAAATTATTATAATATATTCAATAATATGATAGTGACATGCATGCAGGACAACGAGAAAAAGAACATCCTGGCGGTCCAAACGCTTCGAAACTCCATAATGGGATCGACCCTAATGGCCACAACATCGATCCTGCTATGCGCTGGGCTAGCATCCGTCATCAGCAGCACTTACAGCGTCAAGAAGCCGCTTGACGATTCCATATTCGGTGCCCACGGGGAGGTGATGGTGGCAATCAAGTACGTGACGATCCTAACCATTTTCCTCTTCTCGTTTTTGTGCCACTCTTTGTCCATCAGGTTCATAAACCAGGTGAACATCCTTATCAACACTTCCCAAGACCCCGCCTCCGTCGTCGGCCCCGACTACCTGTCGGAGCTGCTTGAAAAAGGGTTCATCTTGAACACTGTCGGCAACAGGCTCTTCTACGCTGCACTTCCCCTCCTGCTATGGATCTTTGGGCCTGTGCTTGTTTTCTTCTGCTCCGTCACTATGCTCTCTTTGCTTTACAATCTTGACTTTGTGTTTAGGAGAAACAAGCCAATGGAGGTTGGATGTGACTGTGAATCAGTGTAATTATACTAAGATAGATATAAGCTAATGCCTTCTTGCTTTGTGGTGCGTGTGATATTATATGAAAGTGTATTATTTTAATAGTTACACTCTCGTGTAATTATAAGTGAAGTGTTTCATCGACAAAAATCTTAATTATTTATATTATATTGGATATTATAAATAATAATAAGGGTCATTATGATTGTATATATTTGTAAAAATCATGAAATAATAATAGTTTTGTTATCCTTCCTTGTAAATATTTCTATGTGAGCAACAACTCTATCTATCAAAGTTTATGAAAAAAATCCTTCTATTAATTGAAGTTTTTAGAGTTTCATATCCTCTAATTAATCATAATCCTTTTACAAAACTACTGATAGACCTATGAGTTCTATTAGGGTCAAATTTATTCTCAAGACGATTGTATTTATTTGTCTGCTCTGCATACCTACGAATAGTAATATTGACAATAAGTATGACATCAACACGTAATAAGGATTAATATATAAACCCTCATGCTAAAGAGAATGAGATAACTTTTTAAATTGTTCATCTTCTTCTGTACATTTCTTTTTCATCGATCCTCTTTCACTTCCATCACTATAAACTATAGTTACAGTCTCTCGTCCAAATCAAAGGGAATGAATTATTTATAGCCGACACATAACACATTATTATCATTAATAACAAAGATTTAAAATCATCCTCTTTTTTATTGTTTTATTAATAATTAAATCTAATACTAATTCATTATGGAATTGGGATGAAAGATAGTCTTTTCAAAAGAATATTCATTCAACATTATAGTATATTAGATATTTCTTATCTTAAATCTTAATTAAATTTTATCCTTTAAAATAATTAATTCAAGCTCAATGCTTTCTAAAAAACCCATAACTTTATAACATCGGATTAGGGTACGCGGAGTTTATATCAAATGCTTATCCTAATAACACCACGCATGCCTATCACTAGTAAACTGGCATTTACATGGATACAATTTCACCAACAATTACTCCTCGTGCTATAACTTATATGATTCGGACTTATTCCACAGCTCAACGGTTAAGCCGCCATATCGTGAACATGTATTATATGAATTGTTAGATCCATTTATGAGATTATGATGGCAAGAGGACAAACATAGAAGTTGAGCATCTAATAATAAATATTAAAAAAAAGAATTGAATTGTAAGAGTAAACAAAAATAAACCAATTCACTTGTAAATTATTTATTTTTACTACGTTTAACAATCTAATGAATATATAAAAAAGTTATTACGTAATAAAAGAATAAATATATGAGAATAAAAAAATATTATGTCAGCATCGCTGTTAATTTTTTAACTATAAAGACCAAAACAGAAATAAACATAACATTAAGTGATTTTAGAAAATAATAATAATAGTCAAATGACTAAAACAGAAATGAAGTAAGAAGTGGGTGACTAAAGAAGTAATTTACTCTTTTTTAATTTAACGTGGAATTCTAAATTTTGATGTCCTCTTACCTTGATTCAACTACAACTCTGGATGGCTCCACTCGTGCGGCGAAAATGACCCACCAACACCACAGATGTTCCTCTACATAGCATAGGACAAGGGTTCTTGCATCGTTTTGCGTCATCAAATCACTAAAGAGCTTGGGAGAAATGGAGGACATAATTGAGACAAGGCATGCCTTGTGTTTCTAAAAATCTATAAAGATCTCTGCTCTGCTATGCCTCCACCATAGTTGTTTTTGTTTTTCAACACCCTTGTCCTCCGGCATGGCCAATGGCCAAGGCTTGCGTATATGGCACAAAGTGCATTATTCTTCATTTTGACTCCACTTTAAACCCATTTCTTTTTCTTATGGAAAGCCCATGTCATTCTTTTTTTCATTTGTCTCCATTAATCTTAAAGTATCTCATCCATTAATGTCATGTTTGATAAGATGTATATTACTCCAGTTTTCAAAATTCTTACTTTTTTTTACATGAGGTTAATGTTCTCATACATCTCTAAGACATGACATACATTAATGTGATGGATATCTAGGTTACCCTCTCTGTAAACTCTTTTGTAACAGAAACAAAGTTGATGTCTTTCTGTATTCAATCACATCTCAGAGATCAACGGATGAGATGTATTTAGGACTGAACTGTCTGACTCTGCTTTCTTTTTCTTTTATCAGCAATAACGCATAATCAAACCACATGGCCAATAAAGTATATGTAAAACTGTAGATAGTGATTGAATGATTTATTTTCTCCAAGTTGGAAACTTTGAATTGGACAAAGTGCGAATCTTGCAAAACAGAAAGATACAAAAGAAAGTCATTTTTTTTTTCAAATAAAAAATAATTTTTTTCTGTTTTCTTTAGTTCCTCAAGACTTTTTTCAGATTTCCATAGCTACTACTGGAGCTGGATCTGGATCTGGATCTGGAACTCTTTCTCCCATATCTTCTCATTACACTGCATTTTCAACCAATCCCTTGCCCAAAAGGTACTTGTGCTCCTCTTGATCACTTCATTGTTGTGGGTTCATTCTTTTTTCACCAGTTTCATTCATTTTCCTGAGTTTATAGTAATAATTTATCCCTTTTTTTTTACCCCATTTGTTCATTTTTTCAGTATTTATTGTTCAATCCTATTGCATTTGAATCACATCTGCAAACCCTCAATTTGTTCTATTTGCTTCCCTCACTTCAATCAGCTTATTAGATTGCTGAAGTTGACTTGCAGGATTCTGCTGTACGAACCAATGCATCAAATCTCTGCTTAATCTTTGCATTTGTTAACATGATTTATGTGTATGTCTGTGTGTTACTCAAAATAACAGTAGGGTCCCTGTATTACATTTGAAACGTGCTTTTTAAGGTTGGTTGAGCATACTTGTTTGTTGTCTTGTATCCATTAATTCGATGCTGTCTTTGTCCACCATTTGCCCTTTTCTGATTAGGGTCTGATTCCAAAAAAAAAAACTTTAATTGCATGCAGTAAAAGGTCTCTTTAAAGTCAACGGTTCGGGAGCAATAAGATGGCGAAGTTAAGGGGAGTGAGTGATGCTTTGAGATGCTGATCATGTTGCCTTCAATATAGATGAAGGCAACTCCTGCGTGGCACTGGCAGCTAAATGTAAAGGATATTCCCATCATGTCTGGTTCAAGAAAGAGGCCTGTGTGGATTATTGTATTGGTGAATTTCGTGATCTTGTTCCTGATTGCTGCGTACGTTTACCCTCCGACGACTTCAGTCGCCTGCTTCGTGTTTTCTTCCACGGACTGTACTTTGACTTTCCGCAAGCAGCCGCCGGCTCCAAAAGTTCCTGCTAGGGAATTAACTGACGGCGAGACAATCTCTCAGGTTGTAATTAGTGAAATCCTAAGGACACCTCCTGTTGAATCCAACAATCCAAAAATAGCTTTCCTGTTTTTGACTCCAGGGACACTCCCTTTTGAGGCATTGTGGGCTAAGTTCTTTCAGGTAAGACTTCTTTCCTCGCTCATCATTCGGCTATGTTTTAGTAAGTATTTCCAATCTATGTGGGTGCCTTAGTTTTCAGTAGGCAAACCAGTTATATCAAAACGTGGATATACCGATATATGCCTTTGCCAGGGGATTGGATTATACACACTACACTAAATTGTATTGAAAATCACATTTATTTAATTTTATTTCCTGCAGGGCCATGAGGGTAGATTTTCTGTTTATGTTCATGCTTCGAAAGAAAAGCCAGTACATACAAGTCAGTATTTTAAGGGTCGAGACATTCACAGTGAATCGGTAGGTGGAACTAATCATTTTATACATCGTTATATTTAGGAATATCACATTAAGCTACTGAAAAGTTTGCATCCAAAATGTCGAGATATTCGTGATGGAAACTTACTCCGAGAGGGTCTGCACATGTAATTTCTGCTTGAATATCACCTAAAGAAACAGCTTTAAAAATGCAGGTGGTTTGGGGGAAAATTTCCATGGTTGATGCCGAGCGGAGACTGTTGGCGCAAGCACTTTTAGACCCTGATAACCAGCAGTTTGTGTTGCTGTCAGAAAGGTAATCGAGGTATAGGATTTCATTTCTTAATATTTCTCTTGATAATTAGTTATCTGAAGTTTTCCCTTTCTTTAAACCTTCTTCTACAGTTGCATACCATTACAGAACTTTGACTACGTCTACAACTACTTGACGCTCACTAATGTCAGCTTTATCGACTGGTAACCGACATTGAACTCGTCTGTTTTATCCCGTCATGTAACATACTGTGAAGCCTTTATATTTGTTGTAAATATCGAGGTTGTAATCTACTTTTCCTGCGTTTGATCTTCTCTCATCAGTTTTGTGGATCTTGGTCCACATGGATCTGGGAGGTATTCAGAGCATATGATGCCCGAAGTCGAAAGGAAGGATTTTCGGAAAGGCTCACAGGTAAATCCTTTTACCGTAACAATGTGGCTTTGAGCATATAGCATTGATATTTCATTTCAGAACTTGTGGGTAAGTTTTTGTATGCATATATGTTTAGCTATCACCAGTCCTTGTAGTTGGCATACGTTAGAACAGCGCTGTCAAATCTGTCGATTGATAATATGACTCGGAGCTCGGTACTCAATATATCGAAATCCTGGATCCTCCATTGGGTCATCCAGGTTTGAGACAATAGATAACTGTGGTCAACAATATTCTGGGATTTGCTTTGTGCATCAATGAAACAATCAGCGTTTCTGTGATTATAAATGTGCTAATTTTTCTGTATTTTGATGCTAATAAATCGGTTCCGGTTCGTATTTAATTTCAGTGGTTCTCGTTGAAACGGCAGCATGCTATAATAGTCATGGCAGACAGCCTATATTACACAAAGTTTAAGTATTACTGCAAGGTAATCTGCTTATTGGAGTTACCATTTCTGCTACATATATGGTGTTTTGGAAAACTGATGCATGTTATATTAACGTACATGTTATGTTTGTCACGACAGCCGAACATGGAAGGCCGCAACTGCTACGCAGACGAGCATTACTTGCCGACTTTTTTTAATGTCGGTACATCAAACTTGTTTACTCTGCCTGTATCAATAATACTTGCCTTGATTCTGATGTATGATTTATGTGTGCATGCTTACATACAGATGATTGATCCCGGTGGAATAGCGAATTGGTCGGTAACATATGTGGACTGGTCAGAACGGAAATGGCATCCGAAATCGTTTAAGCCTGAGGATATTACATTGGAGTTCCTCAAGAACCTTACGGTACATTATTACGGATTTACGGTACATATATGATCCGCCGATGTGGTGGTAGTATAGATTTAAGGAAGAAACTCATCGTGTGTTTTTGCAGGTCATTGACGACATCGTACATATCACAAGTGATTCAAAGGTAAAGATGTTATTTATTTTGGTTTTCTTTAACCGTCTCAGAATATTCTAATTTTCTAGGGCCGTATATAGAGAAGGAAAATAAACAAATTAATGGACTAATTGCATTATATATCCTTAAAATATGGTTCATATTCTAACTTAGTCATAAACTTCAAAGTAGTAGTATCGTATCCCGGGACGATGCAACCTTATGTGTGGGAGGGGCTGCGAACCCCCCCCCCCCCAAAAAAAAAAAAAAACAAAAACACAAAAGAAATTTATGGTCAATTTTTTTTGAGGTCCCATATTTTTGAAACTAAGAAAATTAAGTATTCTCCTCGATTTTTAGGTCCAATTACTTTTAAGGTCTCTCATAGTTTTGAAACAAGAAATGACCATCCAGCTCAGTTGGTAGAGCACAAAGTTCTTAACCTTGAGGTCGTGGGATCGAGTCCCATAGAGGATATTTCATAATTTGGAGGTCTTCTACGGAAGCTGCTCTCAACCTAGCGTTGGAGGTAGCCTACTATCTTATCTCCCCCTTATCCCATTACATATGAGAACAAAGGACAGCCATTTTTTTTAGTTTTGAAACAAGAAAAATTAATATCTTTTCGGTTTAAATGCTAATTAGGTCCCTATTTATTAGGCAAATTAAGTCAGATCTTTTTTGGTTTAAATACTATTTAGATCCTTGTTAATTTCAAATTTTATATTGGTAGTTTAATAATTACACGTTGATCCCATTTTGTTATCATTTCTATTTATCCCCTTAAGCTTCATCCTAGTTTCGTTCCTATTGTATCGATTAACTCCTATCAGTGTAACTGTTAGTTTTGGTTCTGAATGTCAGCTCGGATCGTATCGATTAACTTCTTTCATCAGTGTAACCGTTAATTTTAACGTTTAATGGCAGCTCAAAATTAACGAATGAACATATAGAAAATACGTGAATATATGTATCTATGGCACAAAAAAGTTTGTGTTTAATTGAGGTTTGGATGTGGGTGCAGAGGGTGCTTACCGGACCTTGCATGTGGAATGGAATAAAGCGACCTTGTTATTTATTCGCCAGAAAGTTTTATCCGGAAACTTTGGGGAAGTTGATGAACCATTTCTCTAATTATACGACGCCGTCTTTGTAGCCTTTCCTCTTTCTCTGCTGCTCTAATTAAATATTATTATTCTTTGATTGGATGAGCAGACTCAGATCAACGATAATAGGATCACGAATTTTGATTGAAAGGGGCTTTTGTTTTTGAAGTCTTTTATTCATCAATTATGGCATGCGTGACGTGACATTTAATTCACTAATATATATTCATTCCGACTGTAAATTTTTGGCTTATTTATTAAAAGTTCCTTATATTATCAACCTTATTTAAATTAGTATCGCGATCGTTTTTCGGTTGGGTTCGGAATTGAGTTTCGATGTGAATAAATGGGTAAGAGTAGTCACCGATCATTTTAAAAAAATATGGTACGTCGGACATCATCTTATCTGATCTGCGTTGTATCATAAATGTGTCGGGTTTAAGAGTCGGTTACGGTCAATGAAGGATTAGCACTTTTAAATCGTCATTTCAGTATCAATTAATTTGTCGGTTGTCTTAGTAACGAAAATTTAAAATTAAAATTAAAATTTAAAAGCATTCGATTCGAATTGTTTACCTTTGATCAGTTGAAATTTATCTACAAAATTAAAAATGTTATAGAAAGTAAATAAATAAATAAATATTAAATAAATCAAAAGAAATGAAAATTAAAATTTAAAAAAGGGAAAAACAAGAAGGGAAAAACAAGAAAATTATCAAAAAATTATAAAATAAATAAACAATTAAAAGCAAATCAAATGAAAGATACAATAAAAATACAAATACAAATAAAAATAATAAAGAAAATATTAAATAAACCTCAATAAATAAATAAAATAAGATAAAAAAATAATAAGAGGTAAATAATAATAATAAAAATAAAAATATACATAAGAAATGATAAAAAATATATACGAAATTGGATATAAAAATAAATGAAAACGTTAAAAAAGGACCAATTTGAAAAAAAATGAAATTAGAGAATAAAATTAAAAGGAAAATCAGGAATAAATTCGAATTAAGGGGCAAAATGAATTCTTACAAAGTAGGAGAGACAAAAGGTATTTTACCCTTTTTATCTCAGAAACGCGCGAACCCTAAGCACGGGTCGAGGCGATGGGTAATATAAAACTCCAAAAAAATTCACAAACCCTCATTTCCTCCCTTCTTAAAAAATAAACCCATCTCTCATCCTCTCAATTCTCTCAAACCTGGGCGATATCCGGCCACCACTCCGGTGACCCACCTCGCCGCCGCCATCGGCGACGGCCAAAAAAAAGCAAAATCTTACCAAACGCTCGTCTCCACTCCCCGATCCCGATTCTAGCCTCAAAACCACGAAATAGTTCCTAGATCGGAGTAGATTTGCAAAACTCTACTCGGCTCTTTACCTTCACCGACGAAACTCTTCGCCTTCTCGTCATGTTCCTCCCGGTTCCGGCGTGTTCTGGTTATTTACTGTGTTGCTCTCTTTGCATGTGGGTTTTGAAATGCTTTTCTTTTCGATATTGGTTGGTTTCGTAGTTTGCCGTGTTGTTTTGGCTTATTGTTGGTTGTGTGTGGTTCTGTGATGTTGACTCCGGTTGTTGTTTTGTAATGGCTCGATGGTGCTTCGGTTTACTGGTTTTTGCGTTAATTTTTTCTCGATGATCCCCCTCCTTGGCAGTGGCTTGGTGGGGTATTTATACCCCCCACCGGTGGTCCACGGTTTCGATTATTGTGGTAACTGACTCGTCGTTGGTTGGGGATTTCGGGATGGGTCAGTCCCGATCTCCTCGGCCAGAAATCTCGGTAACCGGTGCGTGGTCTCTTGACTGCATTTTGTAACCCCCAGACTGATGCGTGTAACTAGATCCGATCCGGGTAACCAGATCCGATCCGAGGTGTCACATTTGGGCCACCGGAGCGACCCACTGTAAAAATAGCGGAAAATTTAAAAAAAAATTAGCAGTACATGTAAACTAATAAAATCAATTGTCGTTATTTAAAAATAAAACAGATTTCCAGACTCGTATATAAATCAAAATACAATTACATGCCCCCTAATCACATGTACCATACTCTGCAACAACGCCGGAAGAACTCCCTTACTGAAGTCGATAGATGCACTGGTACAATTCTTTTAACCTGAAAAAAGAGAGTAATAGAGTGAGCTTCGAAAAGCTCAGTAATACAGAACTACCAGATGATGCTGAAGAACGTGCAGATACAGATAAACATACTTATCTTTATTATTTTTGAACATTTACAGATTTTTATACTGAGCAGAGATCCTACTGATATTTCAAATGGTAACGGACAATGAGCTTTCAGTTTAGACAAATATTTCGGATGACTAAGTTCAGGAGATCATAATATGTTATCTAGTGTGTTCCCGTAAAATCAGTAAAAAGATACAGATCTTTTAAAACATATATATATATATATATACCCCCATCCCATCACATCAGAATGTGTAGGTTCCCCATAACCATACACACAACCCAACACATCATATAAGGCCCTGAGCACAAAGCCGAGGAACCTACGGAACTTCTTCCTTCAACAATACTCCCCAATTAAAACATTTTTCCGTCATTAAACGGAGATATCAGAAATCAAAACAGAATTCAGAACAGATATCAGAACAGAATCCAGACCAGAAATCAGATCAGAATTCAGGTCATGTATCATAACAGAATTCAAGTCGGAAATTAGATAAAATAATTATATGATTATGAAACACACCAGAGTTTACAAAAATTATTTAGAGGTACTGGATAATCTTAGCAAGTAGAGAAACACGGATTTTCAGTATACCGATAGAATGTCGGAATTTAGAATCACTAGAGGAATAGTTCAATAACTAATGGAATCATTAGTTATTCAGAATATAACTTGAGCTGATAAGGAAGAAACGAAGATTCAAAACATTTACGATTTGTGTTGATCTATCGGAATATCGAACAACTCCCAGAACTGATACTTATCGACTGGTCAATTCATTACCCTTCCAGGGTATTTACTCTTTAATACCAAAAATTCTTGTCCAGAGATCATCTTCGGAATCATCATTGAATATATCTTTCAATGTCTTTATTTCATTTCTACGCTTCCACACTATCATGTAATGCTGACGTACTTGATTATTTTAATCATAAACCATCATAATTGTACACTATATAAACTCATCAGAATTTTCAGACTTATCCAAATTACTTACTAAATCCTCAGTCATTGAGGTTACCTAGTTCATTTAGCAGTCATGTTCATTCCAGTTACTTCGGGATTTTCCAGAGTATTTCAAATGTTCCTGAATTTTAGACACATGTTGTACTTCCGTTCCATTCAATTTGGTCTTTGTGGTTGATTTGTCGAACAACCGTCCAATTCTTAGTACTGAATGCGATCCAGAGTTGAGCTAAGCTGAATACTTCCAAAATTTATCATCGAGTCAAACTTGAGAAGACGAACATGCATTCCAATAATATCTATGTCATTCAGGTATTGACATAGCTTTAGGGTTGATCTACTCACTTAAATTGTGTTCCATTACTTTTAAAGGTAGTCCAACACCCATGCTTATTTGGATTCCTTAATTAATCCAAGACATTTACTTGGTATAGGCCATAAGGGTATTTTGATAATTTTGGTGTTCAGTTTTATTCCATTCATATCAAAGCTCGAAAATATCCATTCATTCCTGAGTTTGGTGATATTCTTGGTTCATTTCCATTATAGAGATATTTTGGTCATTTTACAGATTCAGTGTATTTTAATCATTTTCTTCCGTCCGATCTTACTATTAAATTCAATCTTATCATTTATTTCAGTCCTTTCGAACAATTCTGACAGCAAAATACCCCGATAAATTATTCTTCAGGTATTTACTCATTACTCGGATATTTTCGGGTTAAGTGCCTTCTCAGATTTTACAAACGAAATATCATGAATTTTTCTTTACAAAGACAGGATCTTAAAAATTGAATTCGTACTTAATCGAGATAAGTACAAATCCTCAAAGTACTTTCTCATTCAGGGTCAACTCAGACTATTTTACCTCTCAAGGGTATTTTTATAATTTCTTAACAAGATCATTTCGATATTAACTCTTAACGAAAATAATATAATATAGAGATCCTATGATTAATTGCTTCCTCGAACATTCTTTGATCTTGAAATGATTCCATAAAAGACTTCTAGTATCTAGCATAAATCCTCTTGGGGTTAAAAATCGGTTATCCATAATTTCCAAGTAAAACTAATATTTCTTATGCACATCAATAGTTTTATCAGATCAATAATTCTTTTCAGATTTATTAATCCACTTCCGGAGACAATTCTTGTCATTTTCCAACATAAAGGTAATTTTGTAATTTTATCTAATCGAAATATTCTCATAATTTATCATCTAAGTACCTTTAATGAGATAAATTATAATCTACATATCCATAGTTGATTCTTTTATCACTTAATTCCAGAACTTGTAATTTAATTCCAACTGTCCTCCAATTTCTTATAGTCATCTGAGCCATATTCAGTTACGACCGTATTCGTATCGAGTGTAGATCTTCATTAATTACACATATAAGACCAAACATTTACATTCATGCATTTACCAATACCAACATGTTCTATAAAGCATAAAGAGGTAGTAAAGTATTACCTCAATTTCTGTGCCATACTGATCGACCATATAATTTCCATTCGAATGTCCTCGATCTTTAATTCAACTTCCAATATTTTTCTCACGATCCATGCCATCAAAATTACTAACTCGTATCTAAATAATTTCCATCGCCATAAAAATAACTTATCTAAACTAAAAATTGATGATGCTACTAGAATATTTAATTACTAAAATCAGGGCTAAAACAAACTAATCTAAACTATCAAAGCTTGGTTGAAATGATACTAAAACTAGGTGGAAAAAAATTAGAATCTTACCGAAAATACATGACTGAAGCCATGATTAGCCCTTTCTTCATATTAACATTTTCAAACCCACATACTCCCTGAACCCATTTACATTTATTTATTATTTTTTTCCATTACCAGCTCTCAAACCTTATTTAAGATAGCCAAATGATAAACACTAAACCAACTAGGACAAGGAGAAAGCCGTGGAGATTCCTAGCTGCGAGACCAACACATGCATGGTCGATAAATGGCGATGGCTTCCCTCCTTGCCTCCCTTCTTTCATGCTTAATAAACCTTATCATTGTGCTCACATGCACACAAAAACTAAGAGCGTTTCATCTTCTCCAAATCACTTCCCAACACTTTGCATTAATTTCAGTTCAAAACAGCAGCACAAAGTATTGGCGGAATCAATTGTTTTCGACACCATTCCTAAACTGAGCTCCATCTTTTTCAAAACTTGGCTTATGGTGGAATTTCAAAGACGACCTGCAGAACATGAGAAGCATCGTTACGCGACCTCTGCTGTGTTCCTTGATGCCGAGGAGCTATCTGACGATTAAGAGTTGTAAGATCATTGCGATCCCAAAAAGACATCAAGCAAAGTGTCAAAGATGCACTCTTTAGGGTCACACCGAAACCTCACAACATCATTATGGTTGCTAGTCCCAGAACACACGTAACTCGAATTATCCATGAACCCTTGGGTATACCTGACCTCTATTTTGGTCACACCCGGAACCCTTTGAAACTCCAATTCAACGCCCCATAAACACCCAGCACCGAACTGAGCAACTGCTGGTCAAGAGCAAAGATGTCGTCATCTGGACCTTTAGCGATGATAGACCTTATAACTTATGGGTTGAGCTTGGTGTTAACTCTGAAGTCGAAGCTTTAAAGGATGTTCATGGGGGCCAGTGGAGTGATACAGAGCGTTTGGTTTGAGGGAAAGGAAGAGAAAGAGGAGGAAAATAGGGGACAATGATAATGCAACTTTTCTAAAACTCTTGTTGGAGTTTGAAAATGAAAGCTGGAAGCAATAGTTTCCACGCAATACCATTATCATTCATTTAATCCACTCACCTAATAATTCGTCCATTTTACCTACTCCAATAATTGTTTTAAAACCAATCCTTACACTGTTACTCTAAAACAAATCTTTCAGGTATAGTTTACCAATTTTTTTTCATATAATAATAATAATAATAATTTCGTATCAAACAAAATCTGGATAAATCATGTGAATTCTAGAATAAACTAAAACCAAAGAAGACAAAATTATACATAAAGTCCTCAATTTTTTCAAAATTCTTTGTTAACCCAACATTTTAATCAAACTACTTATGTAAATATCATACGAAATTTTAACTCCTAAATTGGGATGCGACAGCAGTTGGTGGCGTTCAGGTTTCTGGAACATTTGATCCCGATTTGATCTCGATCGTTGGATTGGGTCAGATCCAACGGTCCAGATCTAGCTGCGGTATGACATAAAATTTTAGGGTTTTATTTCTCTAACTGCTTTTGATCTTGGCCGTTCATTCGTACCCTGATCCAAGGGTCTTCGTTCGTGCGACGCCATATCCTAATGTGGAAACCCTAGACTCCTGTTGGGTTGGTTCATGCCCAATTTATGGTCTGTTTGGGACTATTGGACTGTATTTTTAGATCTGAAAAAAATAAAATTAATAAAATAAAAAGGAATAATAATAATTATAATAATAATAATAATAATAATAATAAATAATATATATATGCAAATATTTTCAAAAACCATATATAAATGTTTTCAAAACTATATAATATATATGTTTTCAAAACTTATATATTATATATATTTAAAAAAAATTCAAAACTATATAATATATGTTTTAAAATATTTTTAAAACTATATAATATATGTTTTCAAAAAACTATATATAATATAAATGTTTTCAAAATGATTTTAAAAACTATATATTATATATATTTTCTAAAATGTTTTAAAAACTATATATATATATATATATAATATGGACGAAATGAGTGTCTACAATTAACCGTTGTTATTTTTACTTAAATAAGCTCTGTTCTTTCATACATTCATAGAAGCCCTTGATATTAATTACTTGATCTTTTCATTTTATTTTGAAACGTGTTACAAATTTACCAAGTGTATCGAATTCGAATTTTAAAACTAAATGGAAAGATACATTTATTGTTATTTACTTGTTCATAAACAGAATTCACTGCAAGCTCGAGAAAGATAACAAATCATTCGAAGCGATGATCTTATTTTTCAGAGAAGAAATGGTTAATGGCAGGCATGATTTCAGGTGGTCGGGTTCGGAGGAATTTGCGAAGTCCATGTTCTGCATATTTCTCTCCTTCCTCGTAGTTTTCCAGCACTGCCTTGCTGCGGTCGGATTTGTTGATCCTGCACAAAATCATTAAAATCCTGTTTATGTATGAAAATTGATAATCATATATCCGTATTTTCGAATACTCAAAATGTCAGATATTTAATATTTTCAGATGCTAAAACATCGGTTCGTGTCCCGGCCCATTACATTAGGGCAATTATACCTGAAAAAACAGAGATTTGAATTACCTAACAGCAGGGTTTAAGAAAACATTCCTGGTAAGCTGGAAGATGCACATGCTTGTTACGAATGTCATTGCCCCTATCAGAGGATACACCTCTGGTTTCATCCAACGACCCATTAGAATTTTCTTTTTTGTAAAGGCACAATCTGCAGATGAGTATTGTTTGGAGTTGAATGGCAGTGCAATTCGAGTATTTATAGTGCTGAAACATGGCAGGCCAGGAAAGATTCAGACTGGTCTTGTCGGCTGCCAGGATAGACCTGTATCTACTTTCCGGTGGGCTACGTACGTTTAATATTTTGACATTTAAGCTTCAAATTTTTGGACTGGAAACCAGGTGCTTTCTTTCGGCCTCTGGTTTTCTTTTCTTGGAATATTTCTTATCATTTTGCCTTATGGGATTAAACTAATTTGGGTCTGTTTGATTTTTAATGATTCGGTTGAATATTCTCATTCATTTAGAACCCATCCAAATCTACACATCAACATCAATATAATTAACTTCAAATTATTAAACTATTAATATATAGTATTTTATTTTTACTATTTTAAATATAAAAAAGTTTAATAGACAATTTGATCCTTAAAATATGACCCGATTAAAAATTCTTTTTGTTTTCCTTTCTTAAAGAAGGGGTTTAACTAATTTTCCCTTCAAAAACATGTTAAGAATTCACGATTTGTTTTTATGTTGAAATTCTTTTTTAATGGAACATATATGTACATGTTTTGTTATTTTTTAGAAAAAGGAGAAATGACAATCATTAAAATAAAAAATAAAAATAAAAATTCATGAATGTAAACACGGTTAAATGCATATTAATCTATGAATTTAAACATATTTAAATATATTTTAATTTTACTTGAAGAGTTGCGAACAATGTTAAGCATGTAACTAATTTTTATTTTATAAAATCAAACGCATAGTTAATTTGCTTTCTTTTTCAGATTTGGAGCCTATCTGAACAAAACAAAACAAAAATACTAACATACAGTATTTTTGTGGAAGGACTAAAGAAGAGTATTTTGACTTGATTCACTAATTCATCTCCTGCAACAACACGAACTCCTAGATTGGGCCCATTATCAATCGGTTTTTATTTACAAATAGTATAAATTTAGCCGAACTTTTTTTTAATGAAATTTGCTAAACTATGAGAGATAAGAAGAAGAAAACAATATATTTAATTTAATTATTTTATATTTTACTTATATAATCAATCAATTTTAAAGTGATCGTCTATTTATCTAATTTTTGTTTATATAAATCAAACCGACCAAATAATATTATTATTCTATTAGATTCTAGTTTTAAAGTGGTCATCTACTTATTTTATTTTTGTTTTTATAAATCAAACCAATCAAATAACATTACTATTCTTTTCAAAGAGAATGAAACATACAATCCAATTCAAACACAATATATATATATAACACAATCACTACCCAAAAAAAAGATAGAGGGAAAAGAAACTATGATAAATATCATCCATTATCAGTGACTACAGAACACCCAGTTCCAAGCCAACTTAGAGACCTTCTACAGCCTTGTAGTGGTAACATCAATGGAGGAGTAACCAAACCTTCCCTCTCGAGGAACTCAATAGCATCCCTAGCACAGAAGAGAAAAGCACCCCGCACAGGAGTGCTGAATGATGAATCTGCCATCTGTGGGGCCGAAGCAGCACCCTGTGACTAAGGAAAACACCAATCAAAAGCCACACTCATCTCCAAGAGAATAAATCAAATGTATAAGCATGTTGATATGCAAATTTCAACAGTTTTAGACATAAATACCCGTGCTTTAGAATTCTGCATATGGAAATGAATGCACTCAATAAAGTGGCAAGTAACTTCATCAAAATCTGTCACCAACCTAGAATTGCAAGCAAAACAAAGAAATGAATATCATCATTCACCAATGCTTGTGTATTAATAGTTGTCAGTATTACAAATCCAAGCTAGTCAGTTGATTTATGGTTCTTAAGCAAGACAATCGATTAGAATGCCAAATGGCAGAAGTGAAGTTCAAAAACATTAACACAGCAAAATAAGCTCCTTGGTGCCCTAATAAATGGTACACTAAGTTGCACATGGATATCTCAGAGTGAAGGCTCATTTGGCACCCAATTTCTTGTAAGAACTGTTAAAAATCAAAGTCAAAAATTACTTAGTGGTCTAAGGTGGCTGTATGATTTTGTTAAAAAATGGCAAGGGAAATTTACCAAATTTAATCCATGTACTTTAAGGTATTTACAAAATTAGTCCTTAAGCTTCAACTATAAATACCCTAACCCAAATTTTCTCCTTTTTATCAAGAGAGAATTGTCATTGTTTTCTTCTTGTTAGATCAAAAGAAATTGTAATTCCTATTTTCTTATAGTGAAATTCTTCTACATTTGCCCGTGGTTTTTATCCTAAATTATTTAGGGGTTTTCCACGTAAAATTTGTGTCTTCTTTATCTTTATTTTTATTTTCTCAAATTATCAATTGCGATTTTACTTTATCTGATAGCCGTATTCCGCAACAATTAGTATCTATTCAAGATATTGAAATAGGATGAGCTATCCGTAATAAAAACTATAGCAACGAAATTTGATATTAAAAAGTTAAATGAGAAAAAAATTTCATTGTAGAAATTGAAGATTAAGGTCATCTTGAGAAAAGACGATTGTCTAGCAACTATTAGTGAAAAGCCGGTAGATTTCACAGATGACAACAAATGGAGCGAAATGGATAAAAATGCTATTACAAACTTTCATCTAGCATTAGCATATAAAGTATTGTCAAGCATCGAGAAGAAGAAGACAGCTAAAGAGATATGAGATTATCTCACCAAACTGTACGAGGCCACATTATTGCATAATAAAAATTTCCTTAAGAGAAAATTGTACACTCTCTGTATGCCATAATCTACTTCAATGACGGAGCACTTAAACACATTGAACATTTTATTCTATCTAAGTATAGTTACAGAAAAAGATTTACAGATATATGACTCATTGATTCGAGAGTAACATATCACATGACCTCAAGAAAAGAATGATTTCATCATTATGAACCTGTCTCATGAAGATTTTTGTATAGTTGCAATAATCATACCTTAGAGATCGTTGGCGTGTGAACCATCAAATTGAAGATATATGATGGAACAATTAAAGTTATTTGAGATGTGTGTTGTGAGTACTATAAAATTATACGCAAATAATGTGCAAGTATACACAATCGCTCAAGTAATAAAGTGATGAGTGAGTATCGTCTCCTAAGGAATTGGATGAAATTACAAAAGTCTAACCAAAGCAAAACACTATTCTATCTAAGTATAATTAGTGTTAATATATACAATGTCACGGTAATAGAAATGTGTATATTGGTGGATATGGATTGATGGTGTAACAAATGGAAATGCAGTGACATGAACAGATTTTTATTATTGAAAATGATATAATGTCAAGGCAATGAAAAATGGTAAAAACAGTAAATAAATAACAAATAAATGATAAGTAGATAATCCTCACATGACAAGCTTCCACTAGAATGAATGGTAGGGATTGAGTTAAGGATACTAAATTTATCTCTCAGACAGATTTAATCTATCTAAACTTCACTTGCTCGACAGGGTTTACCAAAAGTGTTCCCACTATCTCTAGTCAAAGGAACCTAACAGAATAAAATGTCGTGACATCTACTCTCACTCTACAATAGCTCATTGTTTATGAGGATCTTGTCTTGTGTTTCTCTCGAATACTACAAGTATGTTTAGCTTAGGTTTCTCTCGAACACCTAACATTCATCTAAGAAATGGACACTCTCTTCTTACAAGCCTAGATGATGAAATATTCATAAGCAAAGCAAGCAAATATAAAAAATAAACATAAATTCACCATTAAAATAAAGTTTAAACAACCATTAAAACAACTCACATCAAATAAGATTAGTTCATAGTGGGGTTCGAAATATCCATAGAACAAGCTATGAAAATATTTGTTCCAACAACCCAAAAAATAAATAGAAAAATAGTAGCAAAAGGGTGAAAAGAAGCCTTCGACGCACGCCACCAAAGGTCTCCTCAGCAACCACAAAACGTCTTAGCTCGCTAGCTCCTCTCAGACGCCTAGCTCGCCACTCCTTGGAGCTTTATCAATAGAGGAACATCACTCAAAAAAGAAAAAATGGAAAAATAAAATAAAATTCTTCTCTGCTCTACAGTATACTGTGTGTCTCTCACTTGTGAGGTGTAATATATAATAAAAATATCTAGGGGTAATAATAATGATGTTGGGTGCAAAATATCTCTAATACCCCTAGAATCACACTTTGTGCTTGAACCTTATCCTCTAGGTGGCAGTGGTCCCCAAGCAGACGATTACAGCCATCATCTCACATGCATAGCCAACTGTCCTCGTACAAAAATATCTTTTTGTTGTTTTTTGTGCCAGTGTAATGTCACAACATTCCTTTCCAAAGAATCCTTTTATTTGCTATTTCCTGCACACCACAAACAACTACACATTTATCTCATACAACACTCTTAAGATATAAGAATAACACTACCACCACAAATGCAACTACATGATCCTAAAATGAGCATTTAAACAAACAATAACTTAAGTGAAAAAACCTTAAAAGTAATCTTTTTAGGAAGTTAACACACACCCAAACTTAAACTATTACTTGTCCTCAAGTAATGGATAACAATTACATAAGCATAATGTCATAGCAATTTTCAACAATAGAATAATAGGACAAAATTGAATTTCAACCCTCAAAAAAATAAGCTTCAACATGCTAGACATATCAAGAGTTCAAGTACTTTTCCCTAGGTCAAGATTTTTTGTGGTAATGTGTGCGTGATTGTATCCAATCTATACTTAGCAAATTTAGACAATTTGTAATCAAGTCCTCTAGTTTTTGCCAAGGCATTTATTCATTCATTAAGCATATTTTTACTCCATTTTTTCTCTTCTTTTATTTACCAAATGCTACTACGAAGGGAGTCAGATCATCACACCTACTCTTGCATACACTAAGTGTAAGGGAGCATACTTTCCACCCCCGAGCTAGTAAAGTAGAGTTATCTCGTAACTATTTTCATTCATTCATTCGTATGCGCGTGTCTACCATTTATTAAGGAGAGTTTCAGGCAATGCCACGGCAAAAAGGAGTGTCCCTC